CAAGAGATCTTCAAAATGCATGAAGCAAATTGTTAGAAAGAAGGGGGAAAAGCCACAATTCAATACTCCTTTCTGAGCAATGTAGAATACTTTTCTCTCAGTAATGTAGAAAAAGTAGGCAGAAATTAGTAATATGAAAGACTTGAATAACACTATCAATCATTTTGACCAATTTAACATTCATATACTACTCGACCCAATAACAGCAAAATACAAACTCTTTTTAATTGCATGTGGAATATTCAACAAGATAAACCATGTTCTGGACCATAATGCAAACTTTAACAAATTTTAAAAACCTGAAATATATAGTATGTTCTAGAAATAAAAACAAAGTAGAAATCATTAATAGATTTTGATATCTCTGAAACCCTCAAATATTTTCAAATTTAACAATACACTTACAGATCTCCAAAATATATAAAGAACTCACACGATACCACACCAGAAAGACAAACAATCCAATTAAAAAATGGGCAGAGGACCTGAACAGACACTCCTCCAAGGAGGACATACACAGGTTCCAGAGACATATGAAAGGATGCTCAGCATCGCTAGCCATCAGAGAAATGCATATTAAAAACACAGTGAGATACCACCTCACATGGGTCAGAATGGCCATCATTAAAAAATCAGCAAACAAGTGCTGGTGAGGATGCGGAGAAAAGGGAACCCTAGTGCACTGTTGGTGGGAATAGAGACGGGTGTAGCCTCTGCAGAAAATAGTATAGAATTTCCTCAAAAAACTAAAAATGGAACTGCCTTTTGATCCAGTGATTCCACTGTTGGGATTAAACTCTAATCCCAACCTGAAACACCGATTCAAAGAACTCATGTACCCCAGTGTTCATAGCAGAGTTATTTGTAACAGCCCAGTGTCAGAAACAGCCTAAGTGTCCATCAGAAAATGAGTGGATCAAAAAACTGTGGTATTTCTACACAATGGAATATTATGCAGAAGGAAGAACTCTAACCCTTTGCAACAGCATGGATGGAACCGGAGAGCATTATGCTAACTGAAATAAGCCAGACAGTGAAAGACAAAATACTATATGATCTCACCTGTAAGTGGACCCTAATCAACAAAACTAACAAATGAGCAAAACAGAACCAGAGACAGGGAAATAGAGAACCAACTGACAGGGCTACAGGGGAGGAGGATAATGGGGCAAAGAAGGAGAAGGAGCAAGTCAAGGAACATGTGTAAATGACCCATGGGCATGGCAATGGGGTGGGGATTGTGGGGGAGGGGAAGTGGGACAACTGTAAATGAACAATATAAAATAAAACAAAATAAATATATGTATAAATAACCCATGCATCAAAAAAGAAATCACATGGGAATTAGTAAGTATTTTGAACCAAATGAAAAGAAAAGCCTATCTCAAAATTCTCTCCAAGCAGTGCTTAGAGGCGAATTTACAGTATTAAATTTTATATTAGGAAAAAAGTTTGAAATCAGTCTAAGCTTTCACATTAAGTAACTATAAAATCATGAGCAAGTTAAACCCACAGCAAGTAGAAGGAGAAATGATAAGAGCAAAGAAGAAACTGAAAACAACAAAACTACAGAGAAATACCAATGAGACCAAAAGTTTTTTTGAAAAATAATAAAATTGATAAACTTCTAGCTAGACTGACCAAGAAAAAGAGAAGACAAAATCACAAATGTGAAGAAGGAAAGGGACATTACTAACAAAAAACCTCCAGGCCTAGATAGCTACATTGGTAAAGTGCACCAAACATTCAAGCATGAATTAATAGCAAATCTAAACTTCTCCAGGACACAGAGGAGGAATGTGTACTTCCTGACTCATTGAGTGAGGACAGCATTAACCTGATAACAAAACCAAATATAAAAGCATTACAAGAAAACTGGGGACCAACATCCACTATAACAACCTTAACAAAATACTAGGAAATCAAACCTAACAACATATTTAAAAGATAATACACCATGACCATATGGCATTTATCCCAGAACACTAAAAGCTGATTCAATGTTTGAAAATCAATTAATTTGCTGTTTCTACAAACTAAAGAAAAAAAAAACGATCATTTCAATAGATACAGAAAAATCTCTCATAAAGTACACGATTTACTCATGATTTAAACATACACATACAAACACTTAGCAAACCAGAAATAGAGAGGAACTTTCTCAACCTGATAAAGGTCACCTACAAAAACCTACAATCATAATAATGGTGAGAGACTGAATACTTTCCCCTAAAATCACAAATAAGATAAAGATATCTATTCTCACTACTACTGTTCATTATACAGGAAGTGCTTTCTAGTGCAATAAAGCAAACCAAACAAACAAAAACCATAAGCAAAAGGCATACCAATTAGAATTTTTAAAAAACATTCTGTTTACAGAAAACAGGATTGTCTAAGAAAATCTCAGAGAATCTACTACAGAGTCTTATCACAAATTCAATTACCATAATTTGATAGAAATGTAAAGAAATCAAAAATAGAATTCTGACACATTTTTAGGACCTTAAAAATAAATTAGGAAAATATTTCTAGTATATCAGTCTAGATATAATCTTCTTAGTATTTTTACTTAAGAAAGTAAAATTTACAGATTATAAGAAACAACTAGTTGTAATACTTTAAAAAATTAAAATAAGTTCCAACACTTATTATATCATCTTCAATTTTACTTTAGAAATGTAGTAGCTTGACAAGGAGAGAATCTTAAAAGCAGCAAGAGAAAAGAGAGTCACCTACAAAGCAGTTCCCCCATAAAGACTATCAGCTGGTTTCTCAAAAGAAACCTTGCAGGCAAGAAGGGGCTAGAAAGAAGTATTCAAAGTCATGAAAGGACCTACATCCAAAATCACTCTATCCAGCAAAGCTATCTTTTAGAGAAGGGCAGATTAAGTGCTTCCCAGATAAGGTAAAGTTACAGGGAATAAGAAGCATAATTGGTAAGTACAAAATAGACAGGGGAAGGTTAAGAACAGTATGGGAAACGGAGAAGCCAGAAAACTTACATGAGCGATCGATGGGCATGAACTAAAGAGGGGAATGCTGGAGGGAATGGTGGTACCAGGCAGAGGGGGAAAAAGGGAAGAAAAAGAATGGGACAACTGTAATAGCATAATCAATAAACTATACTTTAAGAAGTGTTAAAAATAAATAAATAAAAGAAATGTTGTATCTTGAAATATCTCTATGTACAGCTACATTTTACCCATTCTCATTAAATAACAATTATGCATATAGTTAGGAAAATACTACTCGGTATCTGTTCACCAAAAAATATCAAGACATATTATTAGTACACCTCTCAAATTGACATTTTATAATTTCTACTTTTCCTGGATTGAGGGTACCTAATGAATTAATACAGTATGTACTTGTCCAATATATAAACCAATTAAAAAGTAACAAGTTGGACTTCTAAGGGACTTCATAACAGTTATATTAAACTCAATAATACACATCATTTAGAAGTCATCAAATGACATTGTAGACTGTACTTGTCTTGATTTAAAGTTTTTCGCTACTTAAAATTTAAGTTTTAATTTAAATAAGGGATCATCATACTTATATTGAAATTCCGTATGCACAGCAGAACAACGTTTAACTCTTTGGTCAGCATTCAGTAGCTTTCCAACGAAAATTTTTAGCTACTGTGACTTCACTTTATAGACCCAAATTTAAAAGATAAAAAGTAGGTAGTAGAATTACCATAATGAGATGTTGAGGTTTCTATTTTCTAATACATTGTTTTGATGATCATTCATTCACTCTACGCAATAGAGAAACTAGACCTCTCTGAGATCCAATAAACAGTCTTAAATAAGAGTAAATATCTTAACTTGGAATAAACAACCATTGTCTTCCAATGTTCCTCATATTAAAGTAAGAATACAGCCTGTTGTAATAAGATTAAAATATCACAGCCCATGTTGTAATATTTTTAGATCCAAAACACTCAAGAAAAAAGTCTAGATTTTACTTGTTCAATTAAATGAACATTATGGTAAAATAATTTTTAAAAAGCATCATTAAGTACAAAACAAGTACAAAAATATATACAAAAAAAAACCCTGCGATAAAAATTGTGCAAAACACAATTTGCATTTCTTTTTATTTTAATAATAATACATATTACCAAATCAGCACAGGAACACTATAATAAATAACAACTGTAGTCCAAAGAGAGTACCCAAAGTTTATGTGGGATCTAACTAAGGAGAATGTAAAATTCCCCTTATATAGTGTAAATTTATAATCTTAAAAAAAAGTATAATGTTGCTTAAAAGCCAAACAGATGCCAGACTGCCTGGGCTTGAATTCCAGAGCTGCCATTTACAGCTCTATGACCTCAAGCAAGGTACTGTTCTTTCTGTCTCCGTTTCCTCTTCTGTGAAGAGGGGATAAATACCTTTGCATTGTTTTGTAAGGATTAAACAAGTTTAAAAATGCTTGGTACCTAGAAAGAAAATATAAAAGTACTATTATTCTAGAAATTTTCAAGAAGTGATTTTTACATCTCACTGTTTATAGCATCCCTGGTTTTACCTAAAATATTAGAAAATTTGAAAGGGACACAACATATAATCCTTTGTGTTTATATATAAACTTATTAATATTTCTGTGAAAACTATTCTCCCTTCTCCACAAAAGGAATAAAAGAGCATTATTAAAATATTCTCGTCTCAAAATAAAAAGTTTCAAAAAATAACGTCCCTGAAACTATCCCTTTATCAAATATAAATTATAGCTGCTCTGGTGAGATGTTTTTAAATTCAATCAGGTTTAGATATGAAGAGTGCTCTTAAGTGGTAATCTGTTCTGGGATTTAATCACCGTGTAAATCATTCGCATTTTCCAAGCACATAACTTGTTAAGAACATTTTCCTATGACCAGATTTACCATGTATCTAGCAAAGTAGCCTTGGGAGTCAGAACACAAATTACTTGCCTTAGAAAAGACACTGTTTATGCTCAGAGAGCGGCTTTCAGAGAGATCAAGTAAATACATCAGCCATACAGTTGTTAAAGGTTTATTTTTATATGCATACAAGTTTCAAGGAAACAAAAATTTCAAGATATAGAGTTTAACATATCAAATGAAGTCATTCGGAATTATTTCAGGGTGCACATAAACAGCAGCATAAAGTACACGAATAAGATACACTATGTAGTTTGTTTTTGATGTTCTGAAAAGCAGTGTTTTGGTTTTAAAATTCTGATACCATTATCATGTCATTCAAGTAACACATTTCAAAAGTTCGATTTTTTATAATAATAACAAAATTAACATATAACTCTAAGACAATCTGATAGATGAGCTGCCTTTACCACGATCTTCAAAAAAGTGCTGTTCAATTCTTCTACAAAAAGCAAGAAGGTTGCTATAGTTTTTCACCTTCTCAGAAAGTTCATCATTGGTCAACTGTGTGGTAAGAATGGTGTACAGATGGCCAAACACAAGGGCATCTAGTTCAGTAGGCCTAAAACAAAAGTAGAAATGAGAGTAACATAAATAGTGTTTCACTTATATGGTAGGATATATACAACTTTTAAAAACACAAATAAAATAGATTTTATTCATCTGTTTAAAAGAAAAAAAAAATCACAGAAATAAATTCTACCCTAACTTGATAGAATCTATTGTTTTAACTTAGAGTTTTTTACAAGATATGAAAAAAATATTTCAAACTATTATTTGCTAGTTGTGTGATTTGCTTTTTAAAGTAGTAGTATTATTTAAATGTCTTAAAATAATACTGGTGTAATTAATCATATTCATTTTATTCATTAATTTGTTCACTAAATAAATATAGCAGGTCTCTACTGTGCCAGAAACTGTGCCAGATTCTAGATATAAAAAAACAATATTCTAAGACATTGATACGAAACATAAATTAACACAACACAATTTAGTAAGTGCTTTAAGTGATGCATAAACAAAATGTTGTCAAAGCACAGAGGATTTTACTGTGGTGCTGGGACAACAAAATTACACCTGATTACCCAATCATATATTAACAGTATAATTTCATTTTAATTTGGCCACATTTAAAGTAACTTAGCTTTCTAAAAGAGACGTGGTCATGAAGATGGCTTCAACAAATGTTTTTCTAGAATTTCTCCCTTTATGTATTATTAACAAAAAAAAATGAAATTTATCTCACTATTAATGATCTATAGTTTGGACATCACCAATCTATAGTATATTAAAATAATTGCTAGCACAGCATTACAAAAAGGAGAAAATCCCTCCTAATTATGAACTAATTACTGCCACTAGTCCCATGGTAATAAAGCTTTTGAGAAAACACGTGTTAGCCCACCTGAATGAAAATATGTGTGGTAATCTTGTTTGGCAGAACAAATCTGGGGATCCATCAAGTCTAGGTGTGAATCCTGATGCCACCATTTACTATTTAAGTGGCCTTAATCACTACTGATGAATGGACTTATGCGGTTCCATGGCTTTAAATATCTCTTCATGCCACCAATCCCTAAATATTTGTCTCTGGTCCTAGTCTTTCCCCTAAACTCCTGAGTCATACATTAAATGAATCAATAAAAAGGTGATGCACTTTTCACACCACAGTATAACCGTGTTAATTTAACTATCCCCATCCCCATTATACGACAAGCTATTTAGAGGTAACACTGCACATATCTTTATATTTCCAGTTCTTAGCAAAATATCTAAGGAACTGAATCTGCTGAATGAATAAATGAAATAGAAAAGAAAGCATCCTGCCTAAGGTGTGTAGAATACTTAATTTTTCAATAATACTTATTTACATTCCTTCAAATCCTTCTCTTTCTTTTGACACATTTATGAAGTTTTAATCAAAGTCAGATATACAGTCTATGGCTATGTTTAAGAGAACAGACAACAGGATAGTTTAAAAAAATCACAAGTGTCCTTGGATTTAATAGCACTATGATCCTATCACTACAAATGAACTATCAAAAACAAATGGATCCCTGAAAAGAACCAAGGAGGTAGAAAGTGGATAAATGTAGAGTTGAGGCAGTTTGTGAGAAGATAAACTTCCATATCCCTACTAACTCTTCCATATCCCTAAACATATTTCTTAAAAGATAAATCTTATCTCGCCAATGCAGAATTTATTTTCCTAATCTTTTTTTAGGGTTAAGTACCCTTTGCTTTTCATACTAGAGCTTTAAAAAGGTGAATATATTCCCTGATGCAACTTCCAAGTATAGATGGACATCCTTTATCAATAAGTGAAGGCTCTGAATGAGTGCAAGTATTAAAGTACCTTTAACCTAGACTGGTCTAGAAGTGCCCCTGAAGTGGCCATAATGTTACTAGCTGCAAATATACATCCACATAACTCAAAAGGTGCTGAATTGCATATAGGTAACAAGCATACAAAAACTGATCTGAAGTTACATAAAGGTAGCAGCTTTGTGGCCAGTTACTTTAGAACATCTCACAGGAAGCAGAATACAATACACAAAAGTCAAACAAAACACACACACACACACACACACACACACACACACACACACACACATTTTAATGCATATTTGTTTTCATCCTTAAAAATTTCAGCAACTATTTATATTTGTTGACTATGACATATATGTTACCAATTACCTCAAGTCTTATGGCAGTGGTTAACACCACTACACTCTAGTGCTAAAACTCAGACCTACACACATTAAAGTGTCAATTTTACTGTATGTAAATTAGACTACAATAAACCTGACTTTAAAAAAGCATAAACTCAGAAAAATATTTGCAATTCGTATGCAAGACAAGCACAAAAAAACAGACTTAACCCAGTATTACTGAATTGTTTAATCAAGCCAAGATCTTTAAGTACTTTCAGTTTTAATTACCTTTCCTATACCACATGGAGAGAAAACTAACATTTCCACCCTTCAGCTTACTAAATAGCTGGTGGATTGTAATTCTGTAATTGAGATATAGATAGCAACTCTTCCCCCTTAGACTTTTAACATCTTTCATATGTATTATTGTATTTATTTTTATAGACTTTAATATTTTTTTCTTTTGTTGATTCCAGAGAGAGGGGGATAGAGAGAGAAAGAGAGGGAAAACAACACTGATATGAGAAACACTGGTTGCCTCTTTCACAAGCTCTGATCAGGGACTGAACCTGCAACCCAGGCATGTGCCCTGACCAGGAACTGAACCTGCAACCTTTCACTTTAAGGGACAACGCCCAACCAACTGAGCCACACCAGCCAGGGCTCCCTATAGACTTTTTATTAGAAAAATATTCCAGGATGATAAATATACTTTTGAAGTCCAAGGCAATTTGTTGCCTCCTATCTTACATAGTCCATTCTTTCCACATTTCTGTCACTCATCTACTATTATTTCACATGAATATTAAAATAAAAACAGTACTGTAAAATGTGAATGTTTTCCTAACCTTTCCCATGTAAAATCTTTTTTGCACTCATCTTTTTTTCTTCATTTATTATGATGCAATATGTTTTTCTTTCTTTCTGATACCTTTCACAATCAGTCTAGTTTCAAAAACATTAATTTTGTCTAAGTGTTCTCTAATCTTTTTTTCCCCTTACATTACTAACCTGTATCATCATACTACTAGAAATAATCTACATATCCTTTATTTATATACTGGTCACTAATCTTTAGGAATGTCATTCAAGTTTATAAATCAAGCCCCTTGTCATCAATGTTTCCCATATTTTGCCTGTGGATTTTTTTTTTTAGCTATTTCCCCTTAATTTTCTTAACTGGTGATTTCTTAATTGAATAAACCTCAATAAAATCCTATTTTTCCCTGAAATTTTCTATCTTCAATATACTTTCCCACCTATATATGAAGGTATCTTTTCAAATTTTACCATTTACTTAATGATTACTAGCAGTATTTTTTCTTCCAAAAATCTAACTCCTTTTCCAATCTCTCATTCAACTTAACCTAGTTTTAACCAACATTTATTGAGCTTCTTCCAACTAACAGGTTTTGTTTGAAAAACACAGACCTGTGAGGAGCTCATAAATGTTTTAGAATCTCTGTAACTCTTTCTATCCTAATTACATGTAGAAAAAATATATTTTTTTCCTATTCTATCTTCCCTGTATTAAAAAGGTCTCGTCGAAATACCATTTTAAGAAAAGTTTTATTTTTTAATTCCAACTCTATACTTGAACAAATGACCTAGTAGTCTTTGTGTAGGTGTCTTAATAGATATCACCTAACAGCAAGATAGCATAGTACAGATTTTGTTTTTATTGCATTTCAGAAATATGATTTAGTACTTAAAGCTACCAGCGCTACATATTTTGAAGGCCACATATTTTAGTACCTACTTTTTATTATTTCTAATATTTTTCAAGTTCATTTTTCTTTTACCTTTCTACCATTTAGCTTTGTCCTCTTTTCTTTTTTTTTTTAATTTATTTACTTTTTAAATACATTTGTCTCTGCCTCCCCCCCACCTCTTTCCCTTGCCCCCTCCCTCCTTCCCTCCCTCAGCTCTTCCCCTTTGGTTTTGTCCATGAGTCCTTGCTATATGTTCCTTGACTTTCCCCTTCCCTTCCCTTTCCCTGCCCCCCCCTTCCCTCTTGTCTCTGTTGATTTCTTTTCCTTTCAGTGTTGCTCACCTATAAGCGGAACCTAACCAACAATGCAAAGATGCAAGGAAAATATGACCAGCAACACTGTCCTCTTTTCTCAATTACTACTCTTGCTGCAAGATATCTCCTAACTACCCTTTCCCTTTCTCTCATCAAGTAAAACTACTGGGTTTCTTTCATGAGCTCTCCCAATATCCCCAGTAGGTAGGCTATGGGAAAAATGGATTCCAATTTAAAAGGGTAAAGGGAGGGCACACAGAAAAATAAAGTAACCTCCTGAAATTTGGTATATGTTAAGAGCCAAGAATAGAATTCGGGGCCTCTCACTTGGAATCCAATACTATTTATCTGACTTAAGCCAGAGGCCTTTTAACAGATAAAAGAATGAGAAAAATTTTGCCACAACAGTGTGAAAATACCAGTTACTTTTTCCTAAATGAAGTTTACTTGCATGTTTATATTATTTAACAATTGGGAAACTAAATCTATTCTATTCTTTAGTCATAACTGTTTGGGAAAAATGCTTATTTAGGTTTCATATAAAGTGAAATTATTTCAAAAACCTACAACTTAATATCAGTTAAACAGTTCCTTAATAGGGAATTTTAGTTTTGCAACTGTTCTAGATTTTTAATTTTTTATGACAAGTGTAAATATAATTGTTCCCTTATGAAGAAAAAAATTAATATTTCCACTAAATCTTATGTTTAAATAAATAGGTTAGATCTATTCTCCTGGCTTCCCATGAAGGCAGTGTGTATAACAAAACTAACTCCTAACACAGAGTGATGCACTTCCAACAATAAAACACAATGCTTCTGAGTTTTTCAGCTCCTAGAGCTTTTGAACTCTATGACCTTCCTTCAGAGATCAACAGATTCCAATTTTATTTTAATATTAGTTATATGTGATATACATTAATATAACTTAAATATTCCAACTTATCAAATAGTCATTTTTGCTACAAATATTTATCTCTCCACAAAATGATGTTGGATATGAAGATGAATGCCAAAAAAGATATATAATAAATAATAGCAAATAAAACTTAATCAACTGAAAAAGCAAGAAAATTTTATTAAAAAGCCAAGAAAAGCTTAGATTTTCTAAGCAAACCACTGAGATTAAAATGCTAATTTAAGCCCAACTTAAACTGGATCACAGGATAGCTGATTCTGATACACTACAATTATAACTTTAAAATAAAAAAAAGAAAATTCATTCTTTGCCTACATTAGATATTCTTTTCCAAATTACAAAAAAAAATCTGTCTTAGTGAGACATGAATTAACCTATATACACAAATATTTAATCTATATCCTTTGTATTCATTTCTGTACTTTACAAATATTTTCACTAACTTTTAAAAGATAAGTTCATAATCATGCTTGTTCATCCAAAAATATTTTTTATTGTTTAGCTGTATTCACTTTTCTAGTCCCCAGAGTATCACCTTATATAGACAAGTATGGTTATACTTCATATTTCAATAGTACTTTGCAGGTTCAGAATTCTGTTAATTAAGATGTCATACTTCCATACATAGAATCTTAACCTACCTCTAGGAGAACCTTATCATATGGCACACTAATGACTGCTTTACACATTTGCCTTTAAGAGAAATTCTCAATGGCAAAAAGCACATTTAGAAATCTGAGTCTCCCAGAGCCTAGCACTATGCCTGATACCCAGGAAGTGCTAAATTTTTAATAAAGGAAAAAAAAAAGTTTAAATATAACTAAATCTTTTCACAAATATGTCTTGATAGAACGGTTCCCCTATGATGAAATAAGTTTATAAACCTAACAATATAGAAAAGAAACTAACTTTAAAAAAAAAATGTCTTACTGTTTATTGAAGAAATATGGTTGTGTTCCCAGTCTTTGAGAAAGAGCTTGACAGCACTGGTCAACATCTTCTAAGACCTAATAGAGCAATAGACCCCAAATATAAATACTTAAATTAGTAAAACAATAAAGTATATCTAAAACAAGTTATTTTACAATTTGTAACAAAAATATAAATTCAGGTAATCTTTTATAACACATTTAAATCAGACTATAAGTCACATATAATATAAATAATAGTTTCTATATAAGAAATATGAAGAAATTGGAGAGCTAATTTCTTTTAAGTGCAAGTACAATTAAGTTACTTATAACGATTATTATCAAGAAAGTTTTAACTCAAAATTCCACTTCCTACAAAAACTGTTTTCCTAAACCCATATATTCAGATGACTTTACGTATATATTTTTAAAAACCTGCCTAATAAAGATGACACTGCTGACCCACCATGAGCAAAGCATTTCAGTTGTTTTTCCACTACTGGAGATGGATTTTTATTTACTCCATCCCTATTCATTTACCTAATCCCAGAACACAGAAGTGAGTTGGCTGGCTAGAACTAAGGGGAGGTGTGGAAAAGAAACACTAAGTTGTCTAACGATGCACAAACTCATGACCTTGACAAGATTTGTATTTTTTAATCTTGCTACTTCAGTAAATTTAAGACAAAAAAGAAAAAGATATATTAAGCACTGTATTTAACAGGGTTTTTTCTTTAAAGCCCTAATGCTGCGGATCAATATTTATTGGCATAAAAGATAACCACAATGTGTGGTTAAATGGGAAAAACATCAGGTTATAGAGTGGTAGGTATAATATGATCCCACTTAAGGAAAATGTTATTAAGAGACATCTAGAAAAATGTTCTCCAAATAGTTAATGGTGGCAATTTCTAGGTGGAAGGATTGCAGACAATTTTTATTTCCTTTTTGGATTTTTCTGTATTATATAATTTGTTTTACAATAAGCATGTGATTTTTATAAAACAAAACTACTTCATGTCAAAGAAAATAAGAGCAACTGTTCTGTTAGTTTTTTATTATGTTGGGATTTTTTAAAGGACTACCAATAAAAAAACAAATTTCTAATGTTTTAAAGGTTCATCTTAAATGCACAAAGGATTTTTGAGAACTTCAATCTGAACTGACCTGGTCCAGTGTCTTGTTACCCCATCCAATAGCTTTCATCTTACGTTTGACTTCCCACTGTTTCTGATAGGCCAAAATATGATTCAGGGGCCAAGGGTAGGGAGATCCATACCTAGCATGTGTGATCTAGAGCAAAAAGATTTTGTTAAAAACATTGATTCTTTCTAAAAACAAAGACTCTTTTTACAAATAGAATTTTAAGGGAAATAAATTGTCAGAGAACACAAATAGAGCAATCTGAAAAAATATATAGAGCTCGCAAGCTAAAAAATTAAAATTTTAAAGCATTCCCTTTAAAAATATATAAACTTTTATGTACTTTGCAACCATTTATATCAAACAGTGACACATTGCTTCCCTAAAATGTATGTGCAAGCAAAATTAAAGTAAGTGAAAAACTATATCACTAATGGTATAAACCCACAATGTTTCATTTATGAGCAGGGACTTACAATTCTGAGCAAAAGTGTTTTCTCATTAAATTTTAATTAAGATAAATGCTGCAGAACCACTCACCTCCCCTACTGTAGCTTCATCACACCACTGAAGATACAACTAGGAACAAAAGAAACAGTCACTGAAACTTTAGAATTACCAAAGAGAAAATGGATAAAAAGAAAGTTCTTTCTTGCCACAGTAATTTTTATAAGCCAATTTTATAAAAGACATCTGTATGAGAGTTTTTTTTCTTCACTACTGTTGCTATACATAATTATTAAATTTGATAGTGGTACTTAATATTTTTTATTCATATAGTACATCTCTAAATACCATTAAAGTATTTTATAGTTATTATTTAAGTAAACTTCACAAGGCCAAAGTAAAATTAAGTGGGCAAAAATCACTCCTTTTTACAAACAGAAAAATCAGAACTGAAAATGTCAGGCAATTTGTTCAAAGATAACGATCAAATAATTTGGGTAAGTAGCCTAGCCCAAGAATAGCTTCACTATTTTCCAATTTCTCAATAACTTTAAAATAACCCATAAGAAAAGATGATCTTTTATGAAAGAAAAAGCTTATTTTCAAGACCTATTATTTCTTATTATACCTCTGCAGTCAACAGCATGTTGTTGACTAACTCCATGTAGGCTTTCATTTCTGCTTTCTGGACTTCATCCAGCCCATCACTAAGAGAATGGCCCTAAAGGGAATTTAAAAAAATTTAAGAGCATCATATTAAACATACAAAAACTTTCAGTTATCTTACTACCAAGGAATATAACATCAATCTTTTTACTGCAAATGGTGAATGAATTTCCAAACTGCCTCCAAAAAGAAAATTATTTTATATGAAAAAAGAGTTAATACTCTCTTGCTACAAAATATTAATAAGTAGCATTTGCAATTATAAAAATAATTTTCAAAGGATAAAATTACATTATCAATTATTTCGCAAAAGAAGAAAATAAGAATGGTCAATAAACTTTGTTATTTTAAGACACTAACCTTATTACTAATAAATGCCAAAATACTGATGTATTGCTTATAAAGTGGTCAAAAATAAATAAAGGTATAGGGAAATAGATACTAATTTTTAAATTCTAACACACTATAGTAATGAGTGAATGCATAAAATGATAAAACCTTTAGTTCAATCTGGCAAGCTGTTTTAAGATTTTAAAAATGCATATCCTATAACATCACAGTATCAATCTTAAGAATTTATCCTAAGGAAATAATCTGACAAGTGTACAAAGGTGTATGTACAAGAATATTTATCTTAGCACTGAATAACAACCAAATATTGGCAACAACGAAAGTGTCTATCAATAAAGACTTAATAAATTATAATACATCCATATAATAGAACACTACACAATATAAAAGGGTAAAATATAAATTATAAATATTTATAAATATGTGTGTGTGTGTGTGTGTGTGTCTGTGTGTGTGTTTAGTCATAAACATGGAAGAATTTCCAAACATATTGATGTTAAAAGGCAGGTTGCAAAATAACTAAAAATAGTATGATCTATGCTTTTCTATGTATGTAAAGAGACAAGAAAGTCTGGAAGAATTTTCCCCAAAATGTTAATGGATGCTGTCCATTAATAACTATTAAAATCTAAACTGAATAATTCAAATGAACAAATCAATACATTTGACTTCTAAACAGATCCTATATCTCCCTTCTCAAAGGTTAACTTGACATTTTTAACAATCTAACAGTTTTCATTTATGACCAGAACTCTCATAAGCAGAAGTTAGAAAATTATCTACCATTTTGTAAAGACCAAATTACCTCTTTTGCCATTGACTAGCATTAGTTTTTAAAAATTACATTTTAGAAATATTTCTCCAGTAGTTTATATTGGCATTTTATAGAACTAGGTTGAAATCAATGTAAATGTTAAGTCATGCTAAAGAATGATGAATGACTGACTTATTTAAGAGTGGCTGTGATCAAATGCATTTAACATCTTTTTTATTACCTTGGCTTTAACAAATTGGACTATTGGACCAAGTTCTGATACTACTTGATTTCCTACATGAATAAATGGTACTTTACCTGTTGAAGGAAAAAAAAATGTGTGAAAACACTTTCAGTAAATTAAAGGTTGTACTAATAAACATAGGAAATTAATATAATACTGGGATATATTTTATTAACACAGAATTTCACAAAACTCTTAACTTTTGAAAATTTTAGTTAAATGTGCATGTTAAATTCTATAAATTTTTAAACATTGACTATTGACTAATTTTAAAATGAAAGAAAGAACAATTTGAGTTATTCATTCCTAGAATTCTCACTTATATATAGTAACAGACCACAATATTCTCTTTTCAGAGCTAACACTAACAAATCACTCTATAGTTATAAATATTATTTGTTCAAATTACATGAACCAAACCCAGACACTGTTTCATGACCACTGATAGATTTCAAAAAAATTCAGCTGGGTCTTCTCTTCAGAGTACAATGAATCAATCCATATTTTAAACTACATTTAAGAAGACTTTTTTTTACATCTACTTCCAAATCTCAGGTACTCATTAAGATCAATATTTTAAGTACATAATGGTGTATTAATAAATGTCTTTGAATCAGAAATATCAGGAAGTAAGAGAATTAACAATCCTTGAAGGTGTATTAGTTTATGAATTATAACACAAAGTACGTTCCCAACATGTGGGAGAAAAGAACATGTAGGATGCTTATAAAAACTGGCTTCTCTAAATATTGATAAATGCCACATTAAAAATTATTTCACTCTTATAAATACTAATAGCTGATGAGATTATTGGAGATGATGAGAACAAAATTTACCCCCAAAACTAGATAATAAACCGTGCTGTCAGGCCTAGTTCAAATAGAGTTCACATTAACAGCAGGCTTCTTCATGGTCTTTTTCAATAGATTCACTCCTCTCTGGCTCAGTCAGCCTGAGGGTAATGGATGAGGTGCACAGCACCAACAAAAGCGTCATCTGCATCCATAGGACAACACATTACAAAGGAGAGTCAGGCCTTTTGGAACACAACCACTCAATAGATGTATTTAGAAGACATATCCATGTTACCAATACAGAAACACTGAATTCCACATTCTTTTCTTCTACTACTTTTCTTCTATTACTATAAATCTTGCAATAAATTTTTAAAAAATTCTTATCTGTGTAAGCATTAGGTCATACTGTTTTTTAACTTGGGATAAAATCTTTGTAACTACTATACTGCTAGAAATAGTGCACGTCCTCAGAGATAAAATAATCTGAAAATGAAAACTATTTATTAATGAATGCCTAGACTGAAGGGTATTTCTAGGGTATAACACTTGGAGAGCAAAGTGTATTTCTCATTTTCAATAACCAGTTTGTAGTTCTTGGAAGAAAGAGATTTCATTTTATTTTTCTTAAAAATACTTTGAGCACTGTAGATTCTGAAACAGGGAAGTGGTATGGGTAGTCAACTAGCAATTATATACCTCCAAATATAAAGAGTTATATAAAAGGCAACAAATTAGAAGTGAATAATGTTTCCTGTTACCTGCCTAACTAAAAGTGGAGCCAATGTTATATCCTTATTATCAAAGCAAAAGCACAATAAGACAGTTATCCTCTGGCACCAATCAAAAGTTATAAAAGAAAACAAAGGACACTGTTTCTCACTTGAGGCAGAATAATTACTTTTAGAACTTTTATTTCTGAAGAAAGCAAGAAGATGTTGCCAAGCCAGTAAGTAGATTTGGAGAATATTAGAAAAAGAAAAGCCCCAGATGTCATCTAATCCAACCATTTCATATTACAGATGAAGTCACCCATGCTTAAAAAAGAGAAGACAAATTTCCCAAAGAAACTGTTAATATGCTGTTAATATGTGACAGACACAAAAGGATTAGCGTAAAAATTTCCCAAAACTTAGCCAAGCACTCTTTTGACTATTCCATGATGCTCTGTTTTAAAAATTTTCCACAAGGTCAAATAAGCAAATAAAATCAAACACATTCCCCTGATCACTCCAAATCATATGATAAAAGAGAATACTATTATAGATAACATTTAAATATCTTAATAGAAAGTGCCATTTCCATCTATCTAGAAGACCTCTATGCACGAATGTTATGTATATATATATATGTATTATTGTAGTCTCTAAAATATTTATGTTTGTCTTTTAGAGTCTATAAACTAAGATATCTACCTAGGTGATACTTTAGTATAGTCATTTTAGGAAATAGGTAGATATGGCTTCTCCCTATTTGCCAAAGATATCAACTTCAGTATTAGATTACTAACCATTTTATATGTATTTCTATACTCTTTGTATGACTACATAGAGGAAAAAGAGAGATGGAACCCAATGTAATTCATTTCTCCAGAATTCAGTAAAGTTTACAAAACCTATGTATAAAATTAACACAAAATGAGTCAATAATGGCCTTCAAGAGTCTAAAATATGTCTATGTTTATAATTCTAGAAATTCTTTCATGTAAAATGTATATTCATAAACCTATAAATACAGGGTAGGGCAAAAGTAGGTTTATAGTTGTGAGTACATGAAACAGTTTATTCTTGTTTTCTTTTTGAAACTGTAATAAAATTTAATCTTTCATAAAAGCTGTAATTATTCTTATATTCTTACTTATTAATTATTGTGTTATTTTCCATACAATCTACTGTAAACCTACTTTTGCCCCACTCTGAAGGGATGTATTCACATAGAATTTTCGGTGTGTATGGAGAGGGCATCTTCACAGTTTTTGACAATTATTACTACCTTTAATAACTTAAGATGGAAAACATTTAACATAACTTATCATTACAATGAGGAGATAGATAAATGTTTCCCTAAAAAGCAATGTAACATACTTATGCCCATCAGTTATATTCAACAAAATTTATTCATAAAGAAATAATTCTATGTGTTATTACTGCTCCAGCAAAACCAGTTGATAATAATCATATTAATTCTATTTAACATTTATTTATCAGCAGTGTGGCATTATATTTCATGTAAAAATTATCTGAATTCTCTTATTTTAAACTGTACTTTATTAACATATAACACATATAAAAGCAATACTGATTATGAGAAATAGCAGAAAGGCTAAAATCTTAATAAAAAGTATCTTAAAACCTGTTAAAACAAAAAGAATTAGAAACCTAAAACATTCAGAGATGACATTAAGATCTATGCATGTTAATTTAATTATTTTACAATCTCTCTTCTTCCATATTTATAATGGGAGAACATAATTTAGAGAATATAATAATGGGATTCATTAATATTAAAATGTGTTTTGTGAAGAGGAAACAGTCCTATGTAAATAAGAATGGCAAAATCTGAGATTTTGTGTTTTCTTAATATCTACTATTTAAAAGAATTCCTTAAGTTTCCACTAACCATCCATTTCTGACCACAGAGCTGAAATGCACAGACATGCCCACTACAATATTGTCACGTTTGTAATTGTTACTTTATACAACTATGGGGAAATTCTTCAAAGGATAAACCAAAAATAGAGGTATTTTAAAAATCTAGGTACAAACTGGATTAGCCCTGCAATCTTATCAATGTATAATATTAATAAAGAAGAAAAAAAACTTACCAGATGGAGACATATATTCTGCATTTGCCCTACAAACCACTTTGATAGGCAGATTACACATTTGCAAAAAGGCCTGTAAATCAAAAGAAGTACAGTAAGCCTAATGAAAGTATATGCACATTTGAACACAACTTTTAAAAATTTCTAAGCAAGTAATGGCTAATACAGTACCACTTTATTGGAAAAGAAGAAATCTACTGAAAGTGAAAGATCTGTATGGCAAACAAAAATAAAGTGTTATTTCACTACTAAAAAAATCAATATAATGTAGACACCAGTAAATGTATAAAGCCTAAGCATTTATATATTTAAGAAAGAAAATGTAAATTATCCACATTTATTTTATTGTATTAGTTTATGTAAGTCAACAATACTGTATATTGCTTTAATTTTCTTAAACAGATGACAAAAGTTCAAATTTTATAAGGTATTATTCAATCCCACTATTCTTCTCTTAGAAAAAAAACCCTCAAAATGTTATTTCTGCTACTTCAAAGTTCTCTCCAATAATACTAAGTATCCTAACATGCAGTTTTATGTTCACTAATCATTTACTAAAATGTAACTTATTTTTTCTTTGTTTAGAGAAGCAAAAATTTTGTAAGCAACTTAAATATCTAACAATAGGGAACGGGAATGGGTAAATCATTTATGGTAATTACGAACCATGAAATATTATGCAATTTAAAAAAAATTCACTCTTTTAAATGAAGAATTTTCTATGGCTAAAAAAATGTCCACATGACAATACTAAATGAAAAAATACAAAATCCTATTGACTATATATACTAATTCCTTTTTAAATGTTTTTAAGCCCTGACTGGTGTGGCTCAGTGGATTGAGTGCTAGCCGGCGAATCTAATGGTTGCTGGTTCGATTCCCAGTCAGAGCACATGCCTGGGATGTGGGCCAGGTCCCCAGTGAGGGGTGCGCAAGGGGCAACCACACACACTGATGCTTCTCTCTGTCCCTTGCCCTCTCTCTAAAAATAAATAAATAAAATCTGAAAAAAAAGGATCAGTTAAAAAAATGTTCTTAAGACATCAGTAAACTCTGCCAAACCTGTAGGCCTTCTGACTGGTTCTCACCACTATTTTTTGTAATGCTCAAAGCTTACTCCCCTTGTTTTCCCTTCTATGATACCTAGGTTTATTTTTCTTTACTCTCTAAATTTACCTATCTTCTTTCTATAAAATTATTCAATTGCAGAAGGCATAGTTTACAATGCTTTTAATTACCACATACAAATTAGAAAAACTTTTTATCTGTTTCAAAACTGAAGAAACTACTATAAATAGCAGTCAAATGTCAGCTGACATAAATTAATAAAAAACACGGCTATTACTTACCTTATATTAAAACTATGAATAGACCAGCCTATCCTACCCAATAAAGGTTTCTCAAAGGGGTTACCTATTATAATTCCTTCCTCCATTCTAGGTTGGAAATCAGTCTTAAGACTCTTGCAAAGTAGTAGGGGTGTTCAACAGTGATGATTATCAAATACAAAGTGCTCCATCTGCCTAAAAGTATGTCAATTCTCTTCTTCAAATTTGTCTTCCCACAACTCCAGTCAACTAGCAATGCTCCTCTCCAAAAATAAACTCCACATGAGTCTGATCCCTCTCTACTTATACCCTCTGACTCCTACATTGCTCTGCAATCTATGTCAGCATGTCTGATGTCACCAAGTAAATGTAGTGTCTTAGAGAGCCAAGGAATAGATTTTGAATTTTTTGTAATTCTGTTCCACCTCCAATCTCCTTCATTTTCCTACAGCCGCCATAGGATAGTGCATACTTATAATAAGTATTCCATGTTTAGTGACTGAGCTAACCGAAGTTTCCAGAATTTATTGTGGCAGAGGCTCTTAATTATCCCCCCATGTATGTTTTCCCCTTTCTCTACAATGAACCCATGGATTATATCTTCACACATGGCTGCCTGAAATAAGAACTTTATTTCCCTGGCTCCCTTATAAATTGGTGTGGACAATGTCTAAATTCTGGTCAACGGGACTTAACTGGGCAACTGCTAAAAAGTTTCTTAAACAGGAACCTTTTTTTCCTTCATGTTGACTAGAATGTGCAAAGGATGACTATAGTCAAACTAAACCATGAAGTACAAGTTCAGTGTTGGGGATGGTAGGGCAACAAGAGTAAAGAAACCTAGGTATTTGATAGCCATGTAGTCACCAAACCTGGATTACCTGTGCTTATAAGAGGAAAAAAAACCCCAGCAACTTATGTTTGCGTCTTTTGTCACTCACAAACTTAATCCTAATAAACTGACCAACAATTACTTTTTCTAAGTTTAAGCACCATTTTACCCAACCAAAAGCTGATTCCTCTGTGTCTGAGTAAGTGTACACTAACAAATCTGCACTCTCGATTTATAGTGATAATGGTGAGTTTCTTGATTGACCTGTAGGTCTAGATTAGGGAAGTGGTTCTCCAACTTCAGTTCTGCATGCATCAAAATCATGTGGAAAGCTTGTTAAAATACATCAAAATCATGTGGAAGGTTGCTAGGAAGAGAAGAATTAGAGAGAATAAATCAAACAGCTTTCAGGAAGAATCAATTAAGATAAGGAAGGAGGGATTAGAGAGGTCAGCTCCCTTCTATTAAATATGTATCTACACTGATGATGAAGAAAGGTTGGACTCATTAAAACATACATGGAAAAAAAACAGTGAAAATAGGCTGAAATGACAAGAAACAGGTAGAAAAACTGACATGCAAGATCCATAAGAAGGTAAAAAGGGACAGAATAGAAATACAGGTGGAGGACTCTGTTTTTGTCAGGAAACAGGACACTTTTTGTAACGTAAGGGGTGGTCGGAGTCCGTGACAATGACTGCAGCACGATAAAGGAGAAGATCAAGAAAACGAGGGTATGTTCACAGTCTGTGAGAAATGCAAGAACAAATCATCTGCAAAGAATAAGGGACTAAGTGGGAACTGACGCCCTCGGAAGAACAAAAAACATTTAAAAGAAATGCTTAATATATCTTCTCAAAGGTCTGAATTATATTCGGTTGTTAGTTAATACAATCATAATACTATAAAAAATAGTAAATATGGTATTGTATCTTGCTAAACCACATGCACAGTGGCAACTGTACTAATCAATACTCCAAAAAGGTGTATTTCACTAAAAAGATTAAGCAAAATTATAATATTTTGTAACCAAAGCCATACCTCCAATCCTGTGAATTTTTTACTCCTTTACTATAAATAACTGATTTAATTTTGTCCAATTTAACAACACTGAACTTACCACAGACTTCAATTGATGGCATAACTCTGGTTAGCCAAAGATTAATTTGACAGCATTTACTATACTCTTCATCCCTGATTCAAAAGACATTTTCTGAATTAATCTGTACTTCACAAAGAAGTCTGTGTCACAAACACAGTACTTCCACCCAAACTTTGAAGATGCAAAACAGAACATTACCATGACTGTCTTCAAAAACATAAAAACTCTAAAACCAAACCAGGCTTTGATTCACACAGCATTTCCCCTTTTTCTTGTTGGATGGAAGAAAAATCCCCAAAAGGTTCCAAAGTAGTACAATATTTTCACCTTTAATTTTCATTTTCAATCTCTTACCAGCACCCCAAATACTCCAAATAAAACATTCATGATATAACAACCTAAAACACATTTTACTTTCATTTCAGAAATCACAATCTGCATGATTTTATTCTTATGTAAATACAAAGGAAAATGTAGTTCTACAATAGTTACAATAATAAAACTGAGAATGAGTCACCTAAGTCCTATTCCTCAGTTGGGTATTTTATTCCAAACTAATTCAAGTGATTGACAATGTAAAATATTAAATCAGAAGCTTAGCACATTCTATCAGAATAATGATCTATAAACTGTATTGTCCAATATGATAGCCACTAGTGGTCTGTGGCTATTTAACTTAAATTTAAATGAATTAAAGTTGAATAAAATTTAAACTCAGTTCCCCAGTAACACTAGCCACATTTCAAGTGCTCAAAAGTCACATGTGACTAGTGGATAGCCTATTTATTGGACAGCACAAATAACAGAACATTTACATCACTGCAGAAAGTTCTACTGAACAGAGTATGTCTATAACAATGGTAATCAGCACACGAAGGACATCTTAGCAAGAAAGGCTGACATCATCTCAAAGTGATCATTAAAAGCAATCTGCATTAACAATTCAGTGCCCATACACCCTGCAAGTGAACAATCAACTTCTGTTAACAGTGACACATTAAACACCATAATATTTTCAACTTCAGTATTATAGGAGTTATTCATTTGCTGAGCAACTTCAACTGCTAAAATGGTCAGCAAACACTAAAAATTAAAGAATAAATAAATTACAACTACAGCATATACATACACCCCCCCACACACACACACGTGTGTGTGTGTGTGTATACATATATTCATTCTTTGAATATAAATTTACTGAATACCTAAGCACATGACTTGGTAGGTAATTTTTTTAAACACACGCAAATGCACACACAGAACATAATACCTAGTACCTGCCTTCTAAGCCTCTGAAATTTAATAAGCTTGATGTTTCAACACATTAAATAAATCAAATTCTTAACATTAAAAAGAAATCATTGAACAGGTAGGGTGTCAATTTTTTTTTTGTTTCCTAAAAAAAAATAAATAAGTAAAGGTAAAAAAGTAACATCAGATCACTGATAACTGATTAAATATGAAGGATCAAACTTACACATTTATCTTTGAAACCCTTCAAAAAACAAGAGAAGAAACTGAAAACATATAAACCAAGAAAGACACAAATGATGGGAGAGGAGACCAAAGCAGGCCAGAGATGTCAATCCATTTTTGTAGGACAGGAAGCAGGCACAGCAAGGCAGAGGAAACTGAAACCTAAGAACATACAGTAGAGAAAATCAGTACATTTGCATCATAGAAATAAGAAGATTCAAAAACTGAAGAAGTCAAGTTCCACCGAAAGCAGAGGTGAGGGAAAGGAATAAAAATAGGAGGATTGGATGAAAGTCTGTTTAAGCCTCAGATACCTAACTAGCCCCACCCCCAAT